GATACCAAAAGCCAGTGAAGGTAGTTTCAGAAGAGAAATTTAGCCAAATCTCACTCTCGAACACAGATACAAAAATTCTAAGTAAAATATTGTATCAAGCAACATATAAAAAGGAAAATATGTTATAACCAATGTGGCGGACAGTATGACGGCTCCCAAAGACGTTTACATCCTAATCCTCAAAACCTGTGAAAATGTCATCATACATGGCAAAAGGGACTTCGAAAACGTGACTGAATTAAGGCCTCTGACATGGGCAGATTATCCTGAATAGAGCTCAATTAAGAAGCTTTTCTTAATTTCCATAAGAGTGCTCATAAGAGGGAAGCAGGAGGGTCAGAGTTGGAGAGTTGTGTCCATGGAAGCAGAGATTGGAGTGATTCGCTCTGAAGATGGAGGAAGGGACCACCAGGCAAGGAATGCAGCTGGTCTCTAGAAACAGGGAAAGGCAAGGAAACATACTCTTCCCTAGAGCTCTAGAAAAACCACAGCTCTGCCAATACCTTGATTTAGCCCTCAAGACCCACTTTGGACTTCTGACCTCAAGAATGGTAAAATAGGGACGCCTGGGTGGCTCAGTTGGTTAAGCAGCTGCCTTCGGCTCAGGTCATGATCCCAGCGTCCTGGGATCGAGTCCCACATCGGGCTCCTTGCTCATCAGGGAGCCTGCATCTCCCTCTGCCTCTGCCTGCCATTCTGTCTGCCTGTGCTTGCTCTCTCTCCCTCTCTCTCTCTCTGACAAATAAATAAATAAAATCTTAAAAAAAAAAAAAATGGTAAAATAATTAAGGTGTGGTATTTAAAGGTACTATGTATTTGGAAATTTGTTACAGAAGCAACAGGAAACAGATACAACTAAGTTGATCTTATTCTAGAAATACAAGGATGCTTCAACACTGGAAAATTAAAAGTGTTCTTCATATAAGTAAATTTGGAGGAGAAAAATGATATGACTGCTCAATAAATAGAAAAATAATTCATAAAATTCAAGTCCAATCATCATTTTAAAAAAAACACATAAAACTTTTAACCAACTAGGATTAAAAGGATTTTTCTAAATCGGATATCCTTTATCAGACATTGTTGAGTAAAATCAACACATTGTACACCAAAAGTTTTATAACACTGTATGTTGTTATACTTCTTCAATAAGAAGGAAAGAGAGACGGGGCACCTGGGTGGTTCAGTCCTTAAGCATCGGCCTTAGGCTCAGGTCAGGATCCCAGAGTCCTGGGATCAAACCCAGCATCGGGCTTCCTGCTCAGCGGGAAGTCTGCTTCTCCCTCTCTATCTGCCCCTGTTTGTCCTCCCTCTCTTGGAGGACATTTATTTATATCAAATAAATAAATAAAATCTTAAAAAAAAAGAGAGAGAGAGGGAAAGAAAGAAAGAGGGAGGGATGAAGGGAGGGAAGAGGGAAGTTGGGAATAAGCAATGAAAGTAATTACCATAAAAGAACAAAAGTAACTATCAAAGAAAGCAATGGAGTAATTACCATAAAAAGCCAGCAATTACATTTAGAAAGAACAGGGTTGTATTTGGGAAGGGATATACTGGGGGCCCTCTGGGATGCTGGTAAAACCCTACTTTATTCCAGATGGTAGTTAATGGAAGTGCTTCATAATAATTATGCTTTATCTACTTTCCTTCAACTGTGTTATTTTTCGCAACAAAAATATTTTTAAAAAGGTAGAAAAGAAAGTAAGGAGGCGCCCGGCTGGCTTAGCAGGTGGAGCATATGACTCCTGATCTCAGGGTTTTGAGAGTTTGAGCCCAGGGTTGGGCGCAGAGATTACTAAACAAACAAACAAACAAACAAAATTTAAAAAAAGAAAGAAGGATTTGAATAGGAGATAGAGCAAAGCTACATTTTAAGGCCTAGAACTGCTATAATTGTTGAAGGGCATACACTCAGGTTGGTTTTAGGAGTGGTGGAACTTAAAATTAGACCAGCTAACATGAGCTGAAAGGCTCTGAGGGCTCCTGGATTGGGCTGACTTCTCACCTCCAAGATAGCAGTATCCAGGCAGAGAACCAGCACGCGCAAAGGCTAGGAGAAAGTATGGGGCCCCACTCTGGGGTGGGTACCCATTGTGGCAGTCCTGCAAAAAGACACAGAAGGCACCGAGGAGAAGCAGGAGTCATCTGGGACCCCAGGGAACAGAAGGGACCCAGGGGGTGGGAGGGAAGTCAGTGCACGGAGAAGGTGCTAGTATTGCAATCATGCAATGGAGGAGGGGCAGGGCTAGGAGACATCCCAGGGCTCTCCTCTTCCAGGCCTGAGAAAACTTCTTAATATTCTAGGATTCTAAAATTAATGTCATAAATAATCACTGAGTACCCACTATGCCAAGCATAAAGAATTCATGGTTTTTAAAGCTTGCCTTTATTTTTTTTAATTTTAATTTTAAATCTTTTAAGATTTCATTTATTTATTTGACAGAGAGATAGAGAGCACAAGTAGGCAGAGGGAGAAGGAGAAGCAGGCTCCTTGCTGAGCCCGGAGCCCGATGTGAGACTCGATCCCAGGACCCTGGGATCATGACCTGAGCTGAAGGCAGCCGCGTAACCGACTGAGCCACCCAGGCACCCCTGAAGCTCGCCTTTATAAGGGCCTTTCCCCTCTCCTAATGGTTACCTGCACTTTTTTGGCAGCTGTCAAAGGGAAAGACTGACCCTACAGCCAGCAGAGCTTTCATGGCAACATCCTAGGAGGGCTGGTTTGGCTGGCCAGTCTACAGTACGAATCGTTAAGATGTGAGACAGCATGGGCCAGAAATGCCATGAGCCAACAACCACCACCATAAGTGAAAGCCCATTTCCAAATGGAAGGACTGTGCACCATGGGACTACGGAAGACAGGGCAGGCTCTGCATCCCACAACCAGATGATCTGAGTCCATGAAAGAGCTGATAGCTATGAAGAAAAGTTTTCATTATATTCAAATTTAGGGTTTTCAGGGTTCCTGTTGGGAACACAGGGCTCTGGGGGCTCCTGAATAGCAAATACAAGAGTCTGAGAGAAGAGGGGAGTAGGAGTAGGGAGGGGATGTCTCCACCTCTGGATGGTCTAATTACGCCCAGCACTATCACAACGAGTATAAATCAGAGCCATCTGATGAAGTGAGGGAATGTGGGAACAATCACACAGAATACTTCTTTACATCAGTACGCAGGAAGAATCCAAACCACCCGCACTCAGCCTGCTGTTGACATTGACATGAGTTTTTGAGTGTAGGAAATGCTTGCCTGGGGTGAGAAAAGTTGTAAACAGCTATTGTTTTTTGCAGAAATTTCAAGAAGTAACCCTTTTTTTTTTTTAAAGTAATCTCGACACCCAATGTGGGGCTTGAACTCATAACCCCAAGATCAAGAGTTGCACATTCTACCAACTGAGACAGTCAAGTGCCCCTCAAGAAGTAACCTAACTTTTCTTTTCTTTTCTTTTCTTTTTTCAAGATTTTATTTATTTATTTGAGATAGAGTAGGGGAGAGAGCAAGCAGTGGGGAGAAGCAGAGGGAGAGGGAGAAGCGGGCTCCACGCTGAGCAGGAGGACCCTGGGATCATGACCTGAGTCAAAGGCAGATGCTTAACCAGAGGGAACCACCCAGGCGCCCCAAGAAGCAACCTTTTTGAAGAACTTGGCAACTTTTCAATAGATTACATCTAACCAATCCTAATACCCAGCTATTGTATTGTGATTCTTGCTGACTCCCAATCAAACCCCTCATTGGGACTTAAAATAGACCCAACGCTTCATAAATATCCAGATGTGGCCCTCCCAGTCTAGATGCTACTATGACTAGTAGTGACTAGGCACAGTCATGTTTTCCCTTCCTGCGATCAGAACAAACTCAGCTTTGCACTCTCACAAAGTTGTTTTGTCACTGTTTTCAGGAAGCAGCATTCGACTATGAGCCCCAGTGAGACCTCCCTGCCATTGTGGTCAAGACCGTGACTCAGAAAGGGTTCTCCTCTCAGGCCCTCAAGCCCCTCAGGGGTCTTTTATAGACCATGCCAGCGAGAGATGTAAGTCTTGTCTTGGGCACGAGCTCCGCAAATACAGGGTCTATTTGTCTCCAGTAACAGGGAAACCCTTTCAGGAATCCTTCAATCATTTGAGCATATTGGAAAATCTTTTCTTCTCAGTCGATCTCTGCCTTATTACAAACAACATGACTCCTTGTCTATTTCCATCCTGCTCATTTTTGATTATGCCTCTGTAAGAGGCAGGGTGACAGGGGCAAGAACAGATATGGATCCCAATAAGTATGTCCCTAACATGGCCCGGGGACAAATTTTGTCTTGGGCCACTTATGAGAACTTTCCTCAGACTGTTTTGAGGTTCAGCAAAGAACTCTCCACATATTCTATCTGCTAGGAAGTATAAATTCATCGGAGCCCCAGTTGGAGAAGGCCTAGTGTGAGGTTGAGGATACTTACTTGTGTATCCTGTGAGCCACAGGATACACAAGTAAGTCTTGACTGACCATTGCCAGGTTCTCATGGCTCTGTCTCAGTAGAAAACTCAGCCCATGCCTTCCTCGGGCCAGACTTTTGCTTCTTACATGTATTTATGCTACACCCAAATTTGTGCACTTGTCTTTCCAAATAGCATCATTTCACCTAAGATAATTTAGAATTACAGTGGCCACCACAAGGAAGTTTCAATTTGAACAAAGTTATTTACTTGGGAGGTGCCTTAGAATGTAAAGGCAATGTAATTCCAAGCACCCAACAGTCTTCATTATTTTTTATCAGCATAAGGAAGCATCTAAAAGAAACTGGATTGCAAAATTACTTCCTTAACGGATTGCTTGGCCAAAGCAAAAGAAAAATATGAACAAGTTAAATCTTTTGTTTTCCCCCCAAACCCCAACTCAAGCCTACTATCCTCTTCCCCCATGCTGTGCCCTTCCATCTCTTGCTACCCCTCTAACTCTTCCTCTGACCCACTATCCCTCCTTCCTGGCCAGCCAGGTACCCCAAAGCTCACTTACCTCTTTAAAGTAAACCTCCAGTGGAACAGAGAAAACCTCTTATGGTGGATTCTAAACTCTGATTTCATTCTCAGCTGAAAGCCATTGCCAGAGACTCTGCAGGGCCTAGACAAGAGAGAAACATTGCAGATGAATTTAGAATAATTTGAGGAACGTATAGCCCAGAGCAGCCGCATATATTTCAGGTAACTCCTATGTGAGTATGACCCTTAGATGGAAGAAGTTCAATGAAAAAATCAGAATGGGAAGATCCCCAGTGGTGACTAAAAAGGCCTTCAAGTGCACAGGGAACCAAAGGGGTTTAGAAAAGCTATAGAGTTCTCAGGCTCTTTTGGAGGCTATCCTCTGTCTTTCCTGGGAAAATAGACTGTGCACTGATTCAGTTGTTCAAGCCAAAAAAGGGGACTGTGATGGAGACCTCAGGGATAGGTTAATACCTATAGACAGCGCGCAGGAGTTGATCCTGGAGCAGACGTGATCCTGGTTGCTCTTATCCTTTTGTGAATGCACTTGAACCAGAAATAGAGGAGCGTTAACATGCAAGCAAAAACTAGAATGGGAAAGAGCCCCGTGGCCAGACCTCCAAAACCCTGCTGAATATTTTGAAAGAGTTCTAAAACTAAGAAATGAAGAATGGAGACATCAATGAAGGTGTTCATTTTCTCTACTCTTAAACTCACAAGGAAACATTTCTCTGAAAATTAAAGGACAACCTTACAGATGTTTTACTGATATGGACACAAAAATACCAATCTTAAGCCTGACCACTACTACACAACCTTTTCCTTGCAGTCTTCAAACTACTCCAGTCACACATTTATCCTCACCATACCTTCCCCAGGCCCCCGCACCCCCATAACCATCAGCCTCAAACCTTTAACCAAGGAACACCATACTCATTAACTTAATAGCAAGGGATTTACTGTGTGAATGGAACTGCCATATTAAATATTTTCCCTGATGGTTTCTTCCTTCTGGTCTGGTCCCAGAGGACGGCCCTATTTGTAATAAGATCCTGGCTCATTCAGTTAATGATTTATCAGTACTTCTGTGTGTAAATCAAGCAGATTCAAGCTCTTTTATCAGTCAAAATTATGATATTCTACTGGAGCTAAACCCATCAAGGTTAATCTCTACCCAAACTTGCATAATAGCCTCTAAAACAAGGTGAGAAAAGAAGGGATAAAATTAATAACCAAAGCCATAAAGAGAAAGGAGTCTCATACCTTGTTCCAGTCTTCGTGACACTCCTATCCTCTCAGTTGAAAAACCCAGTGGACAGGAATATAGATTCATTTAGGACCCCAGGGCTAGGATCAAACTCAATATTCTATCTTCAAGGGCTACAGAGATCATGTGTTTTACAGTTGTAGATCTGTGTCGTACTTTCTTTGGTGTCTCTGTTTTTTAATTTAATTTATTTGACAGAGAGAGAGAGAGATCACAAGTAGGCAGAGAGGCAGGCAGAGGGAGAGGGGGAAGCAGGCTTCCTGCCGAGCAGAAAGCCAGATGTGGGGCTCGATCCCAAGACCCTGAGATCATGACCTGAGCCGAAGAGGCTTAACCCACTGAGCCACCCAGGCATCCTGTCTCTTTATCTTTTTAAACATTTTATTTAAAAAAAAATTTATTTTTAAGTAATCTCTACACTCAACATGAGGCTTAAACTCAAAACCCCAAGATCAAGAGTCTCACACTCCACCCACCAAGACAGCCAGGTGCCCCTCTTTGGTATCTCTTTAAATCAAAAGTTAATACTTGTCTTCACTAGGGAAAATCAACAATAGTACCTGGGAGACCACTATGCCTCAGTTTACTCAGTTTATAAGACAAGACATCCCATGGAGGAAAATCCCTTACTCCAGACAATGAGCTGTGCAAAGTGTGTCTGGCCAATAACTAAGACAATTATGAGGCTCCTTGGGCCACTGCAGGCAGAACATTCCTAACTTCTCTGAAACGGGCACGCCATTAATTTGACCTACCCACGTCCTTGCTAACCATACCTTTTCCCTGGGAACCTGAACATAGACAGACATTTTCTGAATTCAGATTAGTTCTTCAGTACCCTCCCATTCTGGGCCTAAATGTCATAAACCTTCAACCTATAAGCACACGAGAGAGATCTCTCCAAGCCCTTAACTTCGTTAGAATCGAGACCCACTTCTCTTGTGATCCAGTGGCAAGAGCCTCCCCACCTTGTTGAGGGGTAGCATCTGAACTAGTAGAGTCTTTTGTCAGCTTGGCTGGTCCTTCATTCACTACCATCTTCATTGCTTCCTAAAATTAGTTACACCTTTCTTGGTAGGTCGATTTACCTCCTGTGAACCCCAAGACTTTCTCTGAGGTGCTAAGACTGTCAGGCAGTCTTAGCTGTGCTAAGACTATCAGTCACTCTGTTAAGCAATCAACCCAGCTTCTCCTGATCAGCAAGTTATTTTGGTAGCCATTTTGCAGCCCACAAAGCCCGACAATCTTAATCAGAATTTGTCCCAAACTCTCATCCGAGAGATTTCAGATTATTAAAAAATAAAAACTAGCACCACACTTTCCACATGCCTTGTATTTTGGCTAATATTACTAATACAATCATGGCCGCTCTTTGCTCTCATTCCTACAGGCTCTACGCTCCTGAAAAATGCTGGTCACTAGCAGGCTGCGGGCTTATCTCTGCTGGAAAAGAACTACAAAGGGACCAGGAATGTGACTGCACTGTTGAGGACCAGCTCATTGGAAGATCTAACCACGATATTGTGTTCCTCTCTCCCATGCCCCATACTCACACAAATCTTGGTGCACGAATCAAAGGAAAAAGAAGCAATTCTTCAGTTAGTTTCCCAGAGTCCTGCAACCTGGGAGCAGGGTTGGCAAAGGAAGAGGGAGAAAAAGGGGAGGAGGGGAGGTTTGCTTATTTCTATCAGGGCTGCCTTCCCCTCCTCAACTCTGCTGTCCCCTGCCTGCCCCAGGGCTGACTCTGGGGCATGTCAGACCTGAAGCAGGGTATTCTCAGGGTACCCTCATCCAAAGGACATGCACAGCTCTCTCCAACGGAAAGCTGGTTCTGGTGACAAGAAAGGGCAGCCAAAGGCTAACCAGATGCCAGTTAGAGGAGGTGACAGAAATAGGCATGGTGTTTGTGTAAATGGAGTAAACCGGCCCTAAATCCCAACTGCCAGGGCTGTCCCTGTTTTCCTTTGTCTATTTTCGGGCCTCTGGGCCTTCAGAACAGACTCCAGGTGCTCAGAGCAGCAGCTAAGTCAGAAAACGCTGTGCCCCAGCAAGGAATGGAGCTGCATTTGGAACCTGGATTGGAGGGTGTCCAACCAACAGGGCTTTGGGGTGGGGAGCAGAAGATTGGCCTTCAACAGGTAATCCCAGATAGCAAAGAGCTGAGGGGATGACTAAATCGCCAGGACCCTGGGCTCTGCTGGACAGAAACCTTACCACAGTTAGAGAAGTCCTGAAGTGCGAAATATTGGAGTCTCCTGACACCAAAAGTGGTCAAGCCCACTCGCGGGGTCATGCGTCAGAGAGTGGCGAAGCTCTCCACCTTGAGCCGGAAGGTGGGCTCCTAACTCTTAGGAGTCTGTACTATACTTAAAAGCTTGCCCTGACTTTCACTTTGGAGTCTTCGGTCTGCACTATGCAATATGTCTGTCACTTACATACGGGGAGCTTTTTGGTGTCGCTGTGATTTCTTGGATCATGGCCTCAATCCTCACACTGTACGGCAAGCAGCCCCGGAGGCGGGCCCCTCCTAACCAGTCCCTTCTCCTTCAGGCCACCCTGTAATCCCTCGAACTTCTTAGTACCCCACGGGCGCCAGGCTAAGCCCTGCCGCGAGTTTTGATCACAGAGCAGAATTAAGAAAGAAATACCAAGCTGGAAAACAGCTTAACGCCTTTAAGAACTCCAGGGTAACGGGAATCCGCAGAGGACAGGCCAGCCAGGTCGTGCGGGGTAATCAGGTTGGAAAGAGGAACTCCGCTGTTAAAAAAGAAAATGAAAAGTCTCTCAGAGTGTAGACACCCAGAGAGTCGACGAACTCCGAACCGCCTGTTGCGCTCTGCCCGCGTCTCCAGCGGGAGCATCCTCGGGAACCCGGAGGGGGGCGGAGGTGGCGCGCAGGGCAGCGCGTCCCAGCAAGGCCAGCTCCCGGGGAGGCTCACTCTCGCAGGCGGGGGCGACGGGCCGGCCGGATTTGTGACGTGCCGGGGGCAGCGCCGGTGACGAGGCCACCACACAAAGCCGGGGCGGGGGTCCCCAGGCCAAGGGCCCCGATGGGATGGGGAGGGGGCGGGGAGCGAGGCGCCCCCGGGCGCCGGGGCCCCGCGCAGTATTAAAGTGAGCGCGGAGTTGGCGGCGGCGGGGGCCTGGCGCTGGCAGCGGGGCGGCCGCGAGCGCTCGTCGCGCGCCTGGCTGCTGTGGCCGCGCTGGCCGCCGGCGCGCCCGGCTTGCCGAGGCCGCGCCACGCCCCCTCGGAGGTGGAGCAGCGGCCAGGGGCGGGTCCGCAGCTGGCGGCGCCCGGGCCCGGGGCGGGGGCTGTGGCAGCAGCTGCAGCAGCGGCGGCGGCAGCAGCGCCAGGAGCTGCTGCAGCGGAGGCGGAGGCTGCTCCTGGACGCGTCCGGGCCGCGCAGCCGGAGCCCCAGCCCGGAGGCACCGGGCGGTGCGCTGGGTGCTGCTGCTGCTGCCACCGCCCGCCGACCGCCGCCAGGGCCCCCGCTGCCGCCTGGGCCCCGGCCGCCTCCCGCGCCCCCGCCGTCCCCGCCCGCGTGTGCGCCCCAGCCGGGACGCCGCCCCCGGCCGGGTCTCCACTTCTCGGCCGCGCCTCCCATGACAGCGCCCGCGCGAAGATGGCTGCGAAGGGCGCGCACGGCTCCCACCTGAAGGTGGAGAGCGAGCTGGAGCGCTGCCGCGCCGAGGGCCACTGGGACCGCATGCCCGAGCTGGTCCGGCAGCTGCAGACGCTCGTTGTGCCCGGCGGCGGAGGCAACCGGCGAACCAGCCCGAGCGCCGCGATCACCTCGCTGGACACCGGTGAGTGAGGGAGGAGGCTAGCTCTCGAGCGCCCCGCGCGCAAAGCGCGCCGCCTCCTCCAGGAAGCGGGCCCGACTGCTCCCCGGCCGCGACGGCCTCCTTCGGTATTACCCTTCCTGTAGTGCTGGTTTTAGGAGCAACCAGAGTAACGAGGAAGGTTCTTATGCCCCAGGAGAAAAACCACATGCAGGTTTGGGCGCTTTGGGGGAGAGAGAGAAACGGCTCTCGCTCCCTGCCCTTTGGGATCATGTGGGCAGCTCCGCCTGCTGTGAAATGGTGGTATCAGCACGGATCAGCTCAGAGCAAGGGCTGGACTCCTAACGCCGTCCCTCCACCCCGCACCCGGTCCCTAAACTCCTTAAGGTGAAGGCTATCTGTCTCTCTTCTTGGCCTCACCTCCTGCCCCAACCTCCGAGTCCAGTTGACAACAGTGCTCTGTCCACAGCAGACAGGGCTGCGTTGGCGAGAGCGCCAGGGTGGGGTGGTGCAGTGGGGAAGAGGCCGGCTAAGCCTCAGTTTCCTCATCTGCGGTCGGGCTCGGGACCCTTCTAGCCCTGGCACTCGGTGACTTTGGCAGTAGGGCTGGTTTGGCTGGGCTGGGCTCTTACTCTGGGGCCGGAAAGCACCCCGATGTGGCAGTCAGGGGTAATACCCCGCCCCAGTCTCCAGCCTCAAATCCTGTTCCTGGTGCCCACAGCTCAGGCTGGAGCGCCCTCCCCCTGCCCTCTTCGTGCACCACCACTTTAGAGCCTTGTGGAAGGAGGCAGGGAGTCAATGAATGCAGATATGAAGAGGTTTAAAGACTGCCCAGCCTGTGGAATAATAATAATAGTAGTAGTAGTAGTCATAGCTAACATTTACCCAGCACTCACTGTGTGCCAGGCACTGTCCTACTAAGCATTTCAGTCAACTCATTAATTCTTCCCAACAACCCCATGAAGAAGGCACTCTTGTTTGCCTCACTTACAGATAATGGAGACAGAGGCTCTGAGAAGTTAAATAACTTGATCATCTAGTCAATAAGTGGTAGAAGCAGGATTCGAATCCAGGCTTCTGAGTATATCCTTTTAACCACTGGCACTGTAACCTCTTAATGATGTGTAGCACAAAATCCCAGTGGGAGGAGTTGCCAAAAGAGATGGGGAGGCAGCGAGGTCACCAGAGGGCAATTGTGTGGTAGATGGTAGAGCTCAGAGGAAAAGGAATTTTTGGGAAGCAGCAGAATGTGTGCTGGTCTCAGGCTGGGGTTGGGAAGGGCAAAGTGTGTTTGCCCAATGAGGAGAAGGATAGAAAGATGCTGAGGGGGCTAGTGACAGAGACAGACAGACAGTCAGTTTGGGGCTTTGAGATCAGGCTGAGCATGCCAGTGAGGAGCGATGTAGTGGTGTGGGGCTTCTGAGTGTGGAAAGGAAATGGACCCATACAAAGAGCACTGGGGCCTGGGTGAGTTAAGGGAATCTGAGTAAGGTTGGCCGCACAGAGAAACAGGCTGGGCCAGCACAGGAACTTGACCTCCTCAACTTCATATGGGTCTGTATTTCCTAAACTGATTTTTAGAGGTCTCAAGGAGATTACATAGTTAATTGGTATTCCAAGAAGAAAGAACTTAGGGAGGCCAAAAAGTAAAGAAACTGGACCTAATAGATTCAAGAGTATTGAACAGACTTATTTTTTTAACTGCAGGACTTTTCAGAGCCTTTATTTTTATTTACTTATTTATTTTTAAAAAGATTTATTTATTTATTTGACTGAGAGAGAGAGACAGTGAGAGAGGGAATACAATCAGGGGAAGGGGGAGAGGGAGAAGCAGGCTTTGGGCAGAGCAGGGAGCCTGATATGGGGCTTGATCCCAGGACTCTGGGATCATGACCTGAGCTGAAGGCAGACGCTTAACAATTGAGCCACCCGGGTGCCCCTTTATTTTTTTTTAACAAAGATTTTAGTTACTTATTTGAGAGAGAATGAGTGAGAGAGAGAGAGCATGAGCGGAAGAAGGGGCAGAGGGAGAAGGAGAAGCAGACTCCCCACAAAGCAGGGAGCCCAGTGTGGGGCTTAATCCCAGGTCCCTGCGATCACAACCCGAACTGAGCCACCCAGGCACTCCTTCAGCGCCTTTAATATGTTCACTTGCCTATGATGTACAAGCCAAGGTTAGAGTATAAATAGCACATTTCTCAAACTTGCCTTGACCATATTCTATGAAGCAATATTGGGAAACACTGATATGATACAGTTTATAAATGGTATTGTATGGTTATAAAATGTTTTCCCTATTTTTTTTTTTTTTTAATTCTTGTAAACAACCTTGTAGGGAGAGCAGGACTTATTGTTTCCATTTTAGATGTCGGGACACCAAGGCCCAAAGAGGTCATGTAATGTGTATGTGGCAGAGCCTGTATACAAGCCTCCGTTCCTGCCACCAGGTCTACCACTAGTGAACGTGGGGGCGGGGCATGAGGCACCTGGCTTGGCTTCACTGTGGGGACTGCCTGGCACAAGGAGGGAGACTCAGGGGAGCAGTGGAGTCTCTCCCGCCAACTTTTGAGTTTGGTTCTGCAAATGATTTTTCTCCCACTGTTAAATCTGGACACACTATCTCGGCACACACAGGCACACACACACACAAGGAAGGAAAATAAATGACTCCTAAACCTATGCATAGAGCACTTTTTGGATTGTCTGCTATGTTGATTCTCTCCTCATGGTTCCTTGATCACTCGAGGAACTGAGGGCCTGTTTTTTTTGGAGCGGTGTAGCACTGACCCCTTCAACCCAGAAAGGAGATTCTTATTGTACTACATGGCCTGTTAGACTCTTAGAGTCAGTGACCAGAAGCTTCAACAGTTACATATTTGAGGAGAGGAGAGGGAACATATTGAGGGGGGGAGCTAAACCCCAGTTGAACCCCATTTTGCAAACGGAGGCCCTGAGCCCAGCTTGTATCTGCAGGGTTTCCTACAGAAGCTAAAAACCACTCCCAGGCCATGTTTTTCAGTTCAGGGGGCCAGAGGGGAAGACTCCCTGGGGGAGTGTCCTCTGTGGGGTCTGGTGGGAGTGAAGAGTCAGGAGATGCTCAGGTTGAGGGGCCCCTGCCCCCTCTTCTCTGGGGAGGCTGCTCCCACCACCTGCCCAGCGGGGAAGTGCCCCTGTTTGCACATTTGCTCTCAAACACATCCGGCTTAGATTCGGTCAGGATGGAGCAGGGGAACCCCAGAGTGTGGCTGGCTGTGATGGAGTTGGTTCATGTAAAAACAAAGAACCCATCCAGGTAGTTAAAGAAAAAGAAATGAATATTATGAAAAATTTCCAAAACCTCAGAAAAGCAGAACAATGAATCCCATGTATCCATTAACCAGCGTCAGTGATTATGAACTCAAGAATGATCTTGTTTGAGCTACACCCCAACCTATTTTTTTCCCCACACTGAATACTGTAGTAGGTACTTATTAATAAGAACCCTTTCAGTTGCAAAGAGATTTATTTACAGTGGAGTGTAAGCACATACCTAAAGAAGGGGTGACCCTTGGGAACCAGTGTAGGATCCTAAAAAAAAAAAAAAATTGGTTTTTGTTTTTGTTTTTTTAAGATTTTACTTATTTATTTGAGAGAGAGAGTGAAAGAGCACAAGCAGGGGGAGCAATAGAGGGAGAGGGAGAAGCAGGCTCCCTGCTGAGTGGGGAGCCCCATGCGGGACTCGATCCCAGGACTCTGGGATCATGACCTGAGCTGAAGGCGGACACTTAACCGTCTGAGCCACCCAGGTGCCCCAAAAGTGGTTTTCCTTAATTAAGATCAGAGGTCTGTTACACTAAAGAATTCTAAAGAGAAAGGAGGATTTCAGTAAGTCAGAATGTCATAGACAAGATGATTTGGTGTGAGATAAGATGATGGTTTAGATAGTGGGTTGAAATTTCTTTCCTTTTTGCAGTCTTCTATTTTATGTAATCAATTGTATAATCCTTTCTTTTTTGGCCAAATAAGAGCTCTTTTGAAAAAACAACACCACCATACTATTATCACCCCCCACCCCCTCACCCCCACTGTTAAAATCTAATGATTTAATTTTACAGTTCGGATCCTACATATTGCATTTGCTTAGTAGTTTGGGTGCCTCTTTTCTCCCACAGTATTTTTTTTTTATGAAAATCTCAAACATTCGGCAAAATTAAGCTGTACTTGATCACTTGTCTCCCCTCTATCTATATAGCCACCCATCGAAGAGTCTCTTAATCTGTAGTCACCCCCCATCT